TATTACAAATAATATTCTCGATACACACATGCGCAACTTTTGGAAAGCCATGTTAACAACATTCAATAAAAAAAAACTTTTTTATATGGCAACGTATCATTCTAACAGAAGATTTCGAAGAGAAAATTTCATCAGAGAGTACATCCATATCTTTAGATTACAAAATAAATTTTCATCGATTATTTAACAATTATTTTAATACTCTAATAAACTTTTTTATATTTCAGATTATTTAAACATATATGTACTAGTATTAGCATTACATATACCCATTAACAGACTTTAAATATAAAATAATTTCGATGTGATATTCTTTTCGATAAAAATTTCCCCCTCCAAAGTCACCACTGCACAGGATCTTTACAACAAATGTACATTAATTTAAACAATTACATAAAAATTAAAAGATTACAAAACTGAGAACATTATAATCTTAAATTTTATGGATTAGGTAGATTATTCCTTTTTTACACATGCGCAATATCCGAAAAGTCATGTAAAAAACTTTCAATAAAAGTAATTACATAGAAGACAAAGGCTCATTTCAACGTTAGATTTCGAAGAGGACAGTGCATAGATCATAGTAACCGAGCTTTTTAACAACAATAGACATTTCTATCGATTAATTAACAATTATTTTAATAATCTAATACACTCTCTTTAAATTTCAGATTGTTTAAACATATATGTACTAGTATAAGTGTTACATTCTAATTAGCATTCTTTAAAAATTAAATGATTTCGATGTGATATTCTTTTCGATAAAAATTTCCCCTTCCGAAGTCACCAAGGCACAGGAACGTTAAAACAAATTTGCATTTATTTAAACAATTACATGAAAATTAAAAAAATGTAAAATCAAAACGTTATAATCTCAATTTCTGTTTAATACAATTAAAATTTTCGTCATACACACATGCGCTACTTTCAAATTACCAGATAAACAACTTTCGATAGAAAAACATTTTTATGTGACAACGTCTCAGTCTAACAGCAGATTTCGAAGAGGAAGGTACATCATCAGGTACATCCTCAATTTTACGTTACAGTATTCATTTCTATCGATTAATTAACAATTATTTCAATATTCTAGTACACTTTACTTATATTTAAGATTAGTTTCAACGCATATACATTGTTTCAAACACTACATACCTATTAAAGTACTTCGAATAGAAAACAATTTGGATACGTTATTAATTTATGATTTATCTACATGACTGTCTCTTTACTTACTTTTTTTCGTAAACGTAAATTGTTACTATTACTTATAATGTTTTCTAATTAGTTATCTGTTAGACTTCGACGAGTTAAAATCGATTCGTACTACTGGCAAATYAAATTTAATGAATATTTATTCAAATTTGGGTCTTCGAAAGCGGTTACCTCCTCGTGGTTAGACCCGGGCAATGATGTTTTACTTTCAGTATAATGTTTAACATATTTTATATGTTATACATTCCATTGCAAGNAAGCGGTTACCTCCTCGTGGTTAGACCCGGGCAATGATGTTTTACTTTCAGTATAATGTTTAACATATTTTATATGTTATACATTCCATTGCAAGTAAAACCCAGCCAAAGAYCGCTTACCATAAACATTATAATTGTAATTAGTTTCTTTTAATTTCCTAATTAACACCATATTCTTTTACTCTTTTCCTTGGTTCCGTCTATCTATTTCATCTATAGAAACTAATTACTTTATAATGTTTCTTTAATAACTTTTATACATTTACAGGTAGTCCTCTTACCTAGAATTTTCCCCATACACCATCATACCTTTTCTACTTCTTTCACTTTCTTTCTTTTCCTTTATAGTAAGTATGCTCACATGAGTTAGCATGCATTCAAGTGAGTTTACTTAACTTTGAAGATGGAATAACTTTTAGATTTCTTTTTATTCGTGTTTTGATATGCATAGATTTGCATTTAGCATGGGGACTGAAGCGACACGTAGTCAATTCGGTCACTATCCGTTAGTCAGGCCTAACCCGTCTGCTGTCAGCACAAAGGCCAATTCGTCTTGTGAAGCCTAGATCCCTCGTAAAATATATTATTAGGATCGCATGTTTTTTTTACTCGCGATTTGGTATGCATAGATATGCATTTAGCATAGAGACCGAAGCGACATGTGTTCGACTCGGTCGCTATCTGTTAGTCAGGCCTCACACGCTTGCTGTTAGCATAAAGGCCGATAGTTGCGTGAAGCCTAGGTTTCTCGTAAAAAAACTTAGAGTCAGTGGATTAGTCCGATCGGGAGGAAACCACTTAAAACAAAAATCGTGAAAAGTTCCACCTTAAAAGTCTACTTTTCCTTATCCTTTTTCTATTCCTTTCAATATTTTCTTGACAGGATGAACTAGGATGCCAAACTCCGTCCAAGAGAAGGAGGAAACGAACCAAAAAAGGACTAAGTTATGGTAAACGGTAGCAGAAAATAATTATTTCTATAAGTAAATGTGTGTGTGAATATTTCTAATCAGTTTATTGTTTCATATAACCATTTCGTCCAAAAGGAAGGGGAAATGGATTAAAAGATGACCAGAAGAGGACAGAGAGAGGAGAGAGTTATGGTAAACAGTAATATAAAATAATTATTTCTCAATGTAAATGAAGTATTTTAATCCATTTATTGTTTTCCTCGTAGCATTGCACATGTATGATAGTTATTTATAATGCATTTTCTTTTTTTTACAGGTACCATGGATTAACCGTAAATTATATACGTTTATTTTTATTGTACTATATTTTAGGTAGATTGCAAAATTATTAAATTGGAAATATTCATAATTTGTAATCTCTGTATTTGTATATATTACAATTATACTAGAGTGTGTTACTTTTCAGTAGAATCATCGATGTCACTTAAATTCTATTTAGATGCATTCCTCGTTTTATGTAGGTGTGAGAAAAATCATTGTTAATGCATTTTTATGTTTTTACGGGTACCATGGATCAGTCCAAATTTTTACAGATATCATGGATCATTCATTGCATCTTTGCAAATCTAAAATAATCTTTTCTTTTTCTTTTTCGGGTTCATTTTCAGGGCTACTTTTCTTCTTCTTCCCTACCCCTTTGTTTGTTTTTTGTTGCAGGTTCAATAGGAGAAGTACCAGAGGAGGACCAGACGAGGACTTAGTTATAGTAACGGATGATATAAGAAAATTATTATTATAATAATTAAATGTGTATAATTTGGATCTTTCTATTGTTTTCCCCGTAGCATCACACGCGTGTGATAATCATTTTTAATGCATTTTCTTTGTTCTTAGGTCCCATGGAACAATTCATAATTGCATACTTTTTGTTTTATTTTACTTTATTTTATGTACATTGAAAATGATTATCTATGAAATATTCATAAACTATTGTAATGTTTTTTAGGTGAAACTCTTAGGGTGGGGCCTAAGAGTAGGGATCATCAAAAAACGTTCTTGGGGTGATCATTTTCTTTGGTTTCAATTTAATTCGGATGTGGACATCTTCAGGATGCACATCCCGGGTCTTCGGAAGCGGTTACCTCCTCGTGGTTAGACCTGGGCAATGGTATTTTACTTTCAGTATAATGTTTAACATATTTTATATGCTATACATTCCATTGCAAGTGAAATCCAGCTAAAGACCGCTTAATTTTAAATAGGAATAAGAAATATAAAGTTGTAACGATTAATATAAATTTTGATTTCAAGTTAGTTTTGCACAGAGAATTTTTTACCAAGTATTTGTTTTTTATTAAAATAATGTACATCATATTTTGCTTCATTGTAATTACTTTATATATGTGCATCAGTATGGATAGCTTGTGTACACATACGTACACATACGCTTATATATTTTATTTTATTTATATTACAATAATACAATGTAATACAATGGAAATGTATTTGAAATTTTTTAATTTAAATGAAGACGGGCTAAAAACCTCTTCTCTTCACCACAGAAGGCGCCACTATACAAAACTGACTTTTAACAAATAAATATCGAAAATTGTTTTCTGCGAATAATGAATCCAACCGTAACTCTTGAGCGATTTTTATAAATAAGATTTTATTTTAAAGAGATAAAAGTTCGAGCGTAGAGATGGTGTCTAAACAATTTTTTACATACTTGCTTATAAAAGAATTTTTTATTAATTTGCATCATGGACCTTACTTTACAGCTGTTTGTCAACGAGAGAAGGAATCGCATGTTCATTTTGGCCAATGAAACACGTTCCAGATCTGACCAATCAAAATTGTTTATATCCAACAGTGTACACATTGTGGCCTTTCAATTGATGTGCATACAAATCTGGAGCGTTGATGTTTAATTGTTAATTGATGTGCAGTAATATTAAAACACAATTCAATATTTTTTCGTGGAAACAGAATTATCTGAAACGTATAATTATAAACAAAACCGAAGCTTTCGAATGGGATAAGAGTTTAATTTTGACATGAATGTTTCCAAATTTTTCTTAGGTTAGGTTTGAAATGAAAATAATGAAACATTATTTTTCTTTTAAATTACTATATAATTCTATGAGGCTTTCATTAATTATTTTTATAACGAAATTATTTTGTTTTATGGAATGCTAAAAAAAAAATAAATTGTGCATTTATTAATAATTAAACGTTGCTTGATTTTAATAATTTTGATAACTTCATAGTTTTGTGAAATAGAAAAATTGATTAAGTTATATTAATATATGTATGTACATATAAGTACTATAATTTTATTAATACATGATACATTTTTAAATACATGATATGAAAAATATTATATATTGGAATTATGGTATCATTTAACATTTCCGGGTAAAAATATATCTGCTGAAACATCCGACTTTCAACATTCATGATAATTATTTCTTTATAAAAATAGTAACATTCATATAAAATCTGATCTACTAATACATAAATAATGATACAAATAAACGAACATTATTTTACATTATTCAAATAGCACGCTATATATAAAAACTTAGTTATTTATCAAAATATTTAAAAGAAGAATATCGAGAGAGAAAGAGAGACAATTAGAACTCATTTGAAATAGTGGAAAATACGTGAGAAGAAGTCATCGTTCTCTATTTAATCTTCTTCGTATTTCCGTTCGCGTCAGATAACGATTATTATTACCGTGTGTAAGCATATTCAGAAATCATATGTACAAATAAATGTGGAGAATATGTATTCGCAGAATTAATTACTAAATCATATATTGGTTTATTTTAAATCAATTCGATAACTTTTAATTTGCATTAAATACACAACAATGTTTAACTAAATTTTACAAATAAATCAAAACTAACATCTAGTATGCAATTACAACTATTTCTTACTCGAACGTTTATCAATTATTTATAAAATATTTCTACTCTTGAAAAAAAAAAAGATTGTATATGATGTCATGGATTATATATACAGGGTGTCATAAAAATTGCTTTATCGAAAAAAGAATAAAATACAAACCTTACATTGCTTTGCTAATAAAATTACAATATTTGATTTATTATTTTGCAGTGTAAAAAAAAGAAGATGGATCGACGATGCCGGTACTTCGAATATCTGACAAAAAAGAAAAATTAATAGTTTCGTAGTTCGATAAAGCGACTATTGTCGGGCCAGTTTGTATATAAAAAGAATATTTCTCTTTTTTCTTTAATTAAAATAATAGAAATATTCTCTGTATTATAAAACACACATATTGCTTGCTATAGAATTTATCCAGGAGGTTTATATGGTTTTTTTTTTATTACCACATGGAAGAGCGCATGCGCTACTACTAGAACGAAAGAAAGAAAGAAAGAAAGAGAGAGAGCGAGAAAGAAAGAAAGAAAGAGGGAAAGAGAAAGAGAGATAGAAAAAGGGGAAAGAGAAAGAGAGCAACGATGTTCGACAGTGCGGCTCCAGCATCGGACGCGGCAGCCACACTTCTTGTTTCTTCTACATTTCAGTTTTGTTCGCAGCCTTGTACAGTGAAGAAAGGGACAACGTTCTACTTCTACATTTTTGGGACTTCATTAGCACGAAGAGGTTAGAAAAGACGATTCGTTTCTTTTCTTAATATTGGAACGTAGATATTATCAATCGTTTCTACTAGTGTTATGTGATATTTTGAAAAAACCTCTCTGTCTTTATATCTCTGTCTCTTTTTCCCTATATGTATATGTATCTCTTTCTTTCTCTCTCTATCTCTTTCTCTCTCTCTTTTTCTGTTTCCTTTCACTTAACATACACACGGTGTCTGTTAAGAGTCCTATTCGTATTCTGTCTGTCTCTCTCTCTCTCTCTCTTTTCTCTCTCTTACTCTTTCTATCTTTCTCCTTCTTAATCTTCCTTCTTACCATTGCACTTTCAGGATCACTGTACTCCTTGTAGTTTCAAGATGCGCTAACAAATAACCCCCCCCCCCCTACGTAACATACGATCGTGATCTACTCACAGTAGATTTGACACTTCTTTCTTTTACTTTTTTTCTTATTTTTAATTTTATTTATTGGTTTTTTTTTTTTTTTTTTAGATATATACCGACTCGTTTCTTTAAAAGATAAATTCATACGAAACTTCTGTTATTTTTATTTTCAACCAAGCTCGGTGAAGATATGTTTCCTCTCGTAGGCGGGGATAGATCCTATGAAAACTTTTTGTAAGAATAGTCGTAAGAGATAACGGACCAGTTCTATTTCTATTTTTATTTTATTTTTTATTTTCTGTTCCCCTTTTTGTTTCTTCTTTTCGATTGCATTCAAGTTACGATGAAACAAAGGGGACTCTTTTTTACAAGATCGTAGAAATGTTTTCCAATTTTTTACGTATCTTCATTCAAATGATTTTATTGAGATTGTACTAATGGTAAGATAGTTTTACTTTCGTCTTATTTTCAGACGTTCAGTTGTATTCTAATATTTGGTACAACTACTTAATAATACCTGGTTGACGTTAGTTCAGTAACTAACATAAAACTTCAGACATTCTTCAGATTTCTGCTTGAATAGCTAGCATTCGTTATCTCGAGTTGTTTTACATTCGCGCGTGCTTTCCGCTTTAGAGACTTTCTCGCATTCGTCTATTTTCATTTAAAATTAAAAACAAGGAAAATTTCAATATATTTATATTATCGTAGATCAAAAGTTCGTAAAAATTAATATAAATAATAATAAATCAAAAATAACATTTAAATTGTATTCGATCGATTTTCGGTTTGTTCATAGATAGAAGTATATTTCAAAAAATAATCTACTTTCGCGCGCTTTTTTCAAATTGGAAATTTGACAAACGATCATTCACTTTGTTTTTCTTTTTCTTTTTCGTAAATAGGAAAACAAATCATCAATCCTCATGGATCCGATCGGTGACATCATTCAACTACTCTAATCTTCGAAAATAAAGAAAAAGTTAATTTTGAAGTGAATCGAAACAATGATCAACAGTTTTAATGGTGCGTAAAACATCGCGATTCGTATTTTGGTGCATCTGTGCTATCCTGTGATCGACATCGGACGAATTAAAAAAAAAGACTGAAGGAATATTTTGAAGATTTGAAAAAAAAGGAATGAAAATGTACGGAAGTTTTTTGAATTTTGTTTTATTCATTGGCACCACGTGCTTCGTGGTATTGGCTGATCCTGATCCATCCGACGAATTGTATACCCGGTGGCCACCGACCAATCGTGACGAAGATAAATGTTATGATCCTGAAGGGAAACCACAGGTTAGTTTAATGAGACCATTAACTTTTTTTTGTTTCTTCTATATTTACGCAGGGTGTTACAAAAATCGCTTCACCGAACAAGAGGAAGGAAAAATCACAGATAAAATCAAGCCAATATGTGATTATGGCTTATTAATAAAATTATAATATCTTCCTTTTTTTTTTTTATTTTTCGTGATATACATTTTTAGTAAGAATTGCTAAAAAAAAATTATGGATCTGTAATACTGCAATTTTAAATACTTGCAAACTAATATTTCTAATTTTTCCATTTGATAAGGCAACTTTTGGAGCACTCTTTTTATTTTTCTACATTATTTGCATTCACGTTTTTAGCTATTTATTGTCAATTATATAGTGTATATATATACAAAAAAAAATAAAAATGAACAAATAAGAAGAGAAAATGAACGAGCAAGAAGAGGTTTGTGAAAACCTAAATCCGAGCTCTCTTCATTTCTTCGAATCTCTGTTGCGTCGGGTCACAGGGTGAACACATGGTAAAAGCCATGTGTTTCACATACGGTTACAAGATCATATTTTGATGGGTGTGTGTCCGTGTGCGTGCGTGTATTTCACGAGAAAAAAATTACTCGAATTGACTCTTTTTATTTATTATTATCATCACTTTTATTGTTTGCGCGTGTATTGATTTTTATTTCAACGATAAACATTTTTCGTTTTTTTTTTTAAATTAAAAATTTAATAGAAAAAAATATCTAATAATTATATAGTGTAACTTGTTCTAATCGTTTCGAAGTATATATTATAATATTAGAGTTTATATTACGATTAGAAAATTTACGTTTATCTAAAAGAGAAAATATATGTCGAAGAATTTATTCGTGGTCAACGACTCCTATGAGATCTTGATCTTCGTATTATCGTATATAAAGAATGAAATATATTAATATTAAAATTAACTCGGTTGAAGGATGAAAAATAGTTGCTGGTTATTCGTGATTATTAAGATTACATGTAACGCTTTTTCCTAAAAGGGAATTGGAACGACGGGTTATCATAGAAAGGTCCGAAGTTACACGAACTTTTTGAGATAACATAGAGGAATGATAATGTGTGATAGATATGTGACTATCAACCATACTCTTTATTTCTTTCTTTTTTCTTTTTGTTTGTTTGTTGAATATCTAATAAATTATATGAGCAAATATTTAAGAAACAAAAAAACAAGATAAATAATCATATGATTTTTCAATCTTCTTCTTTCACATTGTAACAAGAGATCAATCGGTTCATGCGAATTTCTCTAATTGATTATGTTAAGATAAGCGAAACATGAATGAAAATCATAAAACTCTCTATGCTACTGATTATTAAGAAGAAATACTTGAATGAAAAATGTTTTTATTTTTTTATCATTTTTATCTATTTCTACGAAAATTACGAAAGATATTTTATGTTTCGTGCGATGGTTAACACAATCTTTTTGAAACTTCTACGTCCGACTATTTTAGTTTTTTTCTTTTATTGTTTCATTAATTCTTACGAAAATTCAAAAACAAATTATGTCCAATTTTTTTTGTAGGTGTCTTGAAAGCTAATTAGCTATTTTATTCTTCATTTAGAATATTTTTATGTCACTTATAATGATTAACAATATTGAAACTCGCACTACGGCGGCCATTTTTGTTTTTCTTCTTCTTTTTAATCAATCTCACAATCAATGAAAAAAAAACCATCAAAGAAAATATTATTTGGAACATTTTTCTGATGAATATTATTTGGTAAGGAAAATTGTTATCAAATTTTTTATTTTTTTTGTTTAAATTTATTTTTTTTTTTTTTTTTTTTTTCAGATTACTGATTTATTGTTAAACGCGTGGACAATTGTTAATAATAAGTGTGCGCATGAATTCGTGCGGAGAGGAACGACCAACTGAATTTTGCAAGCAAACTGGAATTCAAAGGCACTATTGCGAGATTTGTCGATACGGTGATCATCCAGCTTCT